TTTTCCTTTTTTTTTTTCTGCTAAATTTTGGCTCTTATTTTTTTGTGGTGTAATGCCTTCTCCTGAATCAGATCAAATACAATTATTAAAGGTGTAACCATAAAGTTCTATGACGTGACCTTGAGATCTTGTGGTAACTAAATCATTTTTAATTGCAATACAATGTTTTCTATATTTCAAATATTTTTAATTAAATAATAAATATATTTAAAAAAATCATCATTTAATTTTATTATGATTATAGTGGTTGATAAAAAATAAAAATATAACTCTAGAGGTGAAAAAAATTATAAAAAATAAAAATAAAATGAAAAGTTATTTTATATATATCAAATATGAGAAAATTGCGAATTTAGTCCCACAGTTGCAATTTTATTCCGAGAGTTAACGGTGACTTAACGGTCAGTTAGATTTGGGACCAATTACGCAACAAAAATTAGTTAAGTACTGAAATTGCGATCGTCCCAATCTAACGGGACCAAATTTGCAATTTTTCTCCAGATGAGAGTAATGCTATGTTTCTGTGTGTACCATTTAGATTTCAAGGAATTTTATAAGTTGCTTCTGCAAATTGGGGAAGAAGTAATTAGGGAGTCATAGAATGGAATTTCAATCCCATCTTGCTCATTAACGAACAAATAACATGTGATTGCTTTGGGGACTTATTTTAAATTTCGATGTCAATTTCGGGCAATCGTCGGCGATGGAGATGGTGAGGTTTCCAGAGAGAAAAGCGATGTGTAGAAGAGGGAGACGGTTTTTTATTTTGTTATGAATTTTTTCAATATTTTATGCTTTACTAAATAAATTAAATGGTAAATAATAATAGTTATATATATTTATAGGTAGTTTAGAGGAAAGAGAGTGGGGACTGTCTACGGTCAGGTACCCCTTATACCTACTTAACATCAGGTATCTCCCTATTTCACCATTAGATTGACTAAAATTTGAAAATCAACGGTGGATTCAAGGGTACAAGGCAAAAAAGAATGTTGGTAGCCTCGTACCCTTCGTACTTGCTAAAAACCAATTATACCCTTACTGTATTTTAAAATTTTAAAATATCTGAATTAATTATAAAGAGATATTTTATTTATTTTCACGCTCATATACTTATCTAATTTATGTAACAATCCAACAAATATAAAATACAATTCATCACAATCTTTTTTTTTCCAACGATAGAAAATTATATAAATAAACGGAAAACCGAACAAAGTTCGAACACGATTACGACTACAATGGGAGATACACTCAAAGAGTGATCTAGACACAATAAACCGACAACACGAGAAAAAGCAATTGAGCCCTGCGGCAGTTGAGTGAGTCTTCATATTTTCCTCTTCCCATTCCAAAGGGGTAAACTTCCAAACCAATTGAGCCCTGCGGCAGTTGAGAAGAAGATGTTCAGTAGACTCAACCTGCTCCCCACACATCTTACAGATAGGGTCATTCTTCAATCCTCTCTTGGCCAAATTGATTCCCACTGGTAAAGACCCTGTGAAGCACTTCCATAAGAAGTGTTTCAATTTCCCTTTAACTCTCATGCTCCAAGTTCTTTCCCTTGCTCTTCTGTCACTCAAAGCAGAACAACTTCCCTCTGATATATCCGGCTTAAGTTTTTTCTGTATCATCAAGTAGTTGTAGGAGCTAGCTACAGAGAATTTGCCATTACCAGCAAGGGCCCACTTCCACCTGTCAGGTTCATCTGGGGCAAAAGTGTTGATCTCCATGATAGCTTCTCTGTCTCTGTCACAGAATAATTGCCTCAATAACCCCTAATTCTAAGCTTTGATCTTCACTCATAAGATCACAAACCCAAATTGGTGCCCCCCTCTCAGAAGGCACAAGAGTTGGCCCACACTGTTGTAGCTTTGGAACCCAGCTGGGATCTTGAACTTTTGTCAGCTTACCATCTCTAATTTCTCTCTGCAGTCCCTTAGCAAACAATGGCAGCATATCTACCCAACTATTCCAAAGCTATGATGCTGATGGAGCCCTCTGTACTTCAAATATTGAAAAGGATGGATAATATCTTGACTTCAGCACTTGACTCACTAGCAAATCAGGCATAGTTGTGATTCTCCACAGCTGCTTCATCAGCATTGCCTCATTAAACAATTTATAATCCTGAAATCCAAGGCCCTATAGCTTTTGGATTCCACTACTTCCAATGTATGCCTCTGTCCAGATTGTCTCCCCGACTCCACCAGAAAAAGGCTGTAAGTTTGCTCAGCTCCTCACATGTGCCCATTGGAAGCTTAAAACATGCCATTGAAAACACTGGAAGGGCATTTATTACTAATTTGATTAATACCTCTTTTCCTGCTGTAGAGAGGTATCTATTTTTCCAGCTTGACAGTCTTTTTTTCACAGCTTCAAGTATGTACTCAAAGGTCTCTTTCTTGGATTTTCCTATGCCGAGGGGCAGACCAAGATATCTGGTGGAAGCATGGCATTCAATACCTTGCAACATCTGACAGAGGGTTGCCTTCAGCTGAGGTGTTGTATTTTTGCTAAAGAACACAGTGGACTTATGTAAATTCACCTTTTGACCCGAGAAGCTTTGGTAAATTTGCAAAATGTTCCTCAGCACTCTGATTTGCTGTGGCTCAGACTTACAAAAGATTAATGTGTCATCTGCAAATAGCAGATGAGTAAGAGTAGGTCCATTTCTTGCAATTCTGAGCCCTTTAAAAGCACCTCCACCCACAGCCCCTTGAATTAGTGAAGAGAACACTTCAGAGATGATTAGGAAAAGATAGGGGGATATTGGATCCCCTTGTCTCAGCCCTCTAGAGGGGCAAGTAGCCCACAACTTTCCCATTGATCAGAAAGGAGAAAGTTGGTGTAGAGATGCAAGCAAAAATCCACTTGACAAAAGTTGTACCAAATCCCAATTTCTGCATGGTTTTGCACACGCTTACCCACTCCACTCTGTCATATGCTTTAAGCATGTCCAATTTAAGTGCCATGAAACAGTTTTTACCTGTCCTATGTCTGTTGAGGAAGTGAAAAATTTCCTGTGCAATGACCACATTGTCCATGAGTTGTCTTCCAGGTATGAAAGCAGCTTGGGCTTTGCTGATACACACATCTAGACAAAGTTTCAGCCTGTTGGCCAAGATCTTAGCAATCAACTTGTACACCACTCCACATAAGCTGATGGGCCTGAAATTAGTGATGGAGACAGGGTTCACACATTTTGGGATTAGAGCAACTAATGTGTGGTTCCAATATCTCAGTAATTGTCCTGATTCAAAGAAACTCCTCACAGCTTTACACATATCCTCTTTCAACAATGGCCAGAAGTGTTGATAGAAAAGGGTTCCAATATCTTAGCAAAATTAATTTTTATCCGAACTAAAGAAACATATTTATTTTGGAGTTGGAGGAGATCGGATTAAGCAAAAATAATTTTTATCCGAACCAAAAGCCGAAGCATGTAATGTTGCCAAGTAAGCTTCCGAAGCGTGCAAGCCGGCCATTTAGGCTCAACACGTTTTGAAATTATAGACAATCGAGATTTGAATATAATGGAGATTATGAATATAGTTATTCTAGTATTTATTAAAAAAATAAAATAATATTAAGCAATATGGATAGTAAAAATATATTATAATCTAAAATATATTATAATCCAAAATATATTATAATATTGGTATAAGATTCTTAACCCGTGTAAGTTTTGTGGTTCAATATGGATAGTGTCACACCAATTTTGGCAAAGATTAAGCAAAAATATATTATAATATTAAGCAAAAAATCCTATTTACACAACATATAAGAATCCTATTTATTTTGGGGTTGGGGATCGAATTAAGCAAAAATAATAAGATTAAGCAAAAATATATTATAATATTAAGCAAAAAAATTCTATTTACACACGCATATAAGAATCCTATTTATTTTGGAGTTGGAGGGGATCAGATTAATCCTATTTATTTTGGAGTTGATATATTATAATATTAAGTAAAAAATTCCTATTTACACGCGCATATAAGAATCCTATTTATATTGGGGTTGGAGGGATCGGATTAAGCAAAACTAATTTTTATTCGAACCAAAGAATCCTATTTATTTTGGAGTTGGAGGGGATTGAGTTAAGCAAAAATAATTTTTATCTGAACCAAAAGTCGAAGCATGTAATGTTGCTTCCGAAGCTTGCGAGCCAGCCGAAGCAATGTTGCCAAGTAAGCTTCCGAAGCGTGCGAGCCAGCCGAAGAATGTAATGTTGATAAGTAAGCTTGTGAAACGTGCGAGCCAACCATTTAGGCTCAACACGTTTTGAAATTGGGATTGGATTAAGCAAAAATAATAAGATTAAGCAAAAATATATTATAATATTAAGCAAAAAAATCTTATTTATACGGCATATAAGAATCCTATTTATTTTGGAGTTGGAGGGGATCGGATTTAGCAAAACTAATTTTTCTCCGAACCAAAGAATCCTATATATTTTGTAGTTGGAGGGGATCGGATTAAGCAAAAATAATTTTTATCCGAATCAAAAGCCGAAGCATAATTTTTATCCGAACAAAAAAACCGAAGCATGTAATGTTACCAAGTAAGCTTTTGAAGCATGCGAGTCGAAGCAGTAATGTTGCCAAGTAAGTGCGAGTCGAAGCAGTAATGTTGCCAAGTAAATTTACGAAGCATGCGAGTCAACCATTTAAGCTCAACACATTTTGAAATTATATTAAGGGGATTATAAAAGTCCAATCAAAACTCAATATATTTATATCCAACCAAATTCTTGCCTAAACAATTAGTTCTTATATATACAGCATCCCCTTACCCGTAACAGAGCAGAAGGCAAGACAATCGTCACTGTCTTTTTAACATAAGACCATTCATCGATTCGATAGGGGAATGTCGATGTTGAATAATGTTTCTCAAAGGCCCTCCTCCAGTTCCAGGTATTATTCAGGAATCTCTCATCAATTGAACCCAATCCCTCGTTTCACATTCCATTAGGTTTTCATCGATTCGATAGGGGAATGTCGATGTTGAAGAATGTTTCTCAAAGACCCTCCTTCAGTTCCAGGTATTTTTCGAGAAATCTCTCATCAATTGAACCCAATCCCTCGCTTCACATTCCATTAGGGTTTCATCGATTCGATATGGGAATGTTGATGTTGAAGAATGTTGGTCGACGACCCCCCTCCAGTTCCAGGTATTTTTCGAGGACTCTCTCATCAATCGAACCCATTCCCAAAAGCCATCTGGAAATTGAGAGAAAGCTGCCTCTTTTGCTTCGCTTACATGGAAACAACATTGAGGTAGACGTCGGGTTTAGGCGTAACTATTTCTCTCTGCTTTCCTGGGACGACAAATCACTATCCACACAACAACTCCACTTGCCATTTCCTACGATTAGTGACGTGAGCTATTGTGATGGCGTGGTGTGCCTCCACGCTGGGTTTATTGACGATAGAGTTGCCCTTTGGAACCCGTCGACTAACGAATTCAAGTTCCTTCCTAAGACCAGCATCAAACTCCATCCAGATGCTAATTATCTCATGTTTAAACGTCCCATGATTGGGTTCGATAGTAATTCTCAAGATCTTAAAGTACTGAGGTTCGTGAGAACCTTTTTTCCTGAAGAAGATTATTGTATGCCCATTACGCGACAGTTGGAGTTGTACTCCCTAAAGTCCGATTCTTGGGAGGAATTGCCTTATAACCTTTCTTCTGATTGGTTATCACACTCCTATTGTTCTGCTTCTTAAATGGGGTTGCTTATTGGTGGGTGGAGATAAAGGCTAGGATGGCACTTCTTACCTTTGACTTTGCTAGTAAACAGATTTCTGTCCTTGATCTTCCGGATTCGGCTAACCGTGCTGCGAAATTTTATAGACTGCGTCTTGCCGAGCGGGATGGGTTGCTTGCCACTTTTATCTACCCGAAATATGGAGAGGAAAAAACTTTTGAATTGTGGGTGAGAAGTCATGATGGTTCGTGGGAGTGGATATCCACCTTTTGTGTTCCTGGTGTTGATAAGCCATTAGGGTTCTGGACAAAAGATTATCTGCTTTTTCGAGGCAAAGGTGAATATCTAATCCTTTATCACATTGTCACTCAAGAGGTTAAGTGTCTTAATATCTCTGATGATCTTCCTTGTCTGGAGTTTGTTCCTTGTGTGGAGAGTGGATTTCAGCTTGTTGGGAAATCAGAGTTTGAAAACAAAGAGGTATAGTAATATTTTGAGAAAAGTCAATAGTTGGTGTAGGTGTCTTGGTATAGCCTATTTTAATCTTATGGTGGTGATGTATATTGTTGTTTCCTTGCAACTTAATAAAGACGGAGTCTATTGGATACGTCAACTCTGGAACTTTTATCAGAATGTTTTTCTTGCTGTATCTGTTGATAGTATGATATCTTGCATATTCTAATTTATACTTTTGAGTCATTGTATCGGAACCCTTCTTTCCTGTTAGAATGCCTTTGCATATGTGCTATGAATATTCACTTTGAAAATGCTACCTTGTTTTGCATGTGTCTTGATATGAAAAAACGATTCTTTATCGATTCTGACAATGATATCCTTGCCCTCAGCTGATCAAAATGGAATCCCTTACTTATAAAATCATTTCTTCTTTTTGCCCCATTTTCCCATGGTTTAACCTGTTTTGCTGCTAATGTTTTCATTTTCCTTTTTTTTTTTCTGCTAAATTTTGGCTCTTATTTTCTTGTGGTGTAATGCCTTCTCCTGAATCAGATCAAATACAATTATTACATTTGTAAATCAGGTGTAACCATAAAGTTCTATGACGTGACCTTGAGATCTTGTGGTAACTAAATGCCCTATGTTCTTATGATTCAAATGGTTTCTGAAATTTAAGTTGTTTCTTTTTTCTCTTTGATTTCTCTTTGATTCTTAAACAAGAACATATGAGAAAATAGTAAGGACACAAAAATTTAAGAGTTTCCATCTTCTACTTATTATTATAAAAGTTATCTACAGATTTTTAATTTTTTGTTGTTAAGATCATCAATTTTGTTTTGAGTATGGGATGATGTTTTCTTTGTTCCTTTTAGATGGGTAACAAACTATATATAATCCGATTCTGAGCATATGAGGGTATGAGTGATGATGGACAAAGATCTTTAACTAATTAAAGATTTACTAGTACAATACCCGTGTATTACACGGGTGTTGAATTAGAAAGCTTTTGTAAAAAATATTAAATTTTTTATTTTTTTAAAAACTAAAATAATTTAATTTTATATAAAACATTACTTTGGGTTTCATTAAATTGTCAAATTATATTTTTTTAATTATAATAATTAAACACCCGTACATTAAATGAAAATGTCAACTCGTGTTGAATTTTTTTACTTATAATCATATAAAAATATTGATATTATTTACTATTACATAAGTACAAAAATATATATCTTAAATAAATAGAAATAATATAGTGACATGTATATGCATAAGTGTAGAATATGTTTATTTAATTTAAGCAAAATAGATTAATTTTTTTACTTAATTAGATACCTAATATATCAAGTGTCGTGTCAGTCGTGCTTCACAATTTTTTTAACTTTATATGTAATTTTAGAATTTATATAAATAATTATTTATTTTTATTACATTGACAACATACCAATTAGATTTGAAATAAATATCATTTTTAAAAGAATATATACCAATTTCTATTAATTTATAAAATAATTTATAGTTTTATTTTAATTTAGTTTGATAAATAAATTTAAATTTTATTTATAAGGATATATATTATTTTTTTGTATTATATATATAAAATAAATAGTAAAATACAAACGGACTTCATAAATGCAACAAACTAATTAAGATTTTTTTTTTCTTGGTAATATTAACTCTATTTAATGGATGTTATGAGAAACGATTGAGATGGGATATGAAGAGACATTGTGTATTATATGTCGGGTTAAAAATGGAAAAAATATGAACAAAATATCAAAAACGACATTTATTTTAGCAATGATCAATTAAGCCAAAGTGACAAATAATAAAAATATGAGGGAGTATATATTATTATATATTTTAGTATGACACATGTTACTTGTGCGACTTATATGTGTTATATTATAATAAATTTTCTACCTTATAACATATAATAACTACATTAAACATAAATATATTAATTAATAAATAATTTTATTTTCTAATAATAAATAGTTTTATTATTATTATAAAGATAAATATGATTTATTGATGTCAAATCGAAACTCATCAAAAGATGAATAATTTGATATATTATATATGTAAAACTGATAAGAAATACAAAAGTTATCAACTTTTAAAATATATTTGCAATTCAATAGTTATAATAGGAAATGATATTAAAATACAATTAATACAAATATTAATTTATATCCAAGCCTAACTCCAAAGCATGATTTTTTGCCAAATAGGATTCCGAAGCATGAGAGTTTGCCACGTAGGCTCAGCGCATTCTGAAATTATATATAGAGGGGATTTTCCTTATTTTGATTATTATTAGTGGTATTCTAGATTTGTTCGAAAACTTACTTATGTATTACTTTATTAGAATTCTAATCTTATTGGACAAACTAGAAATTTAGGGTGTGTTTTTATACAAATATAGCCGCTCAAAATGAGTTTTTTTTTTTTTTTTTNGTGTGGTTAGTTGTTAATGAGATTTTGATTTTATATTAAAATAATATTTAAAATAAAATAGTTAAAGATGATTTGATGTAAAAGTAGAAGAAGGATGATATGAAGTGATAGTTAAAATTATGTGAGTGAATGAATAGTAAATTAAAGTTGATGTGATGTGTAAGAATGATTGATTGATATTATTTAATTATATTGATATTATTGAGTATAGTGGGGTTTAGGTAGAGTTAAATTTAAGTTAAATTTTGAGCATAAATAGAGTATGAATTGAGTATATATTGATATTTGTTCTCTTCAGTTGATGATTGAATAAGAAAACATGTATTTCATATTTAAATCTCTTTTATCTTCTCCCACTCGTACGGTTCCTACATCAATTGGTATCATAAGTCAATACGATTCACGATACTGCCGTGAAAACAAGATGTTGTGGACGACAGGCGTGACACCACCATAGCCGCTAGGCCGCGGGGTTTGGACTTCGACTCGAGAATTGTGTAGTGCCCTGTTTATTTTTAATAAATCGAAGCTCGACTCTATCAATTTTAAGCTTGAGAAGTTTCATTAATTTTAAAATTTAATCCTAATCTTTAGTTAATCTAAATTTTAACCTTATAATTATTAAGTTAATCAATTAATCTAATTTTTCAAATTAATCTAAATTATCTCTGTAACTCCCGTTTGTTTATTAGAATTTTTGGATTTTTATATTATTATTTAGTTGCTGATATTGAATATTTGCCTTATTTTATTTATTTACCGGTCATGATATTAATTGCTTGTCTTATTTGTTCTGCTTGATATAAATTGTTATGTGGCTAATATATGTGATTATTTTATGTTTATATATTATTTATGTGTATTAGAATTATTAGGATTTACTTGTTTAGAAACTTTTAATTGTTTCGACAATTTTCGATTTAATCGCGTAACCCAAATTGTAATCCGTTTTGATTCGTTTCCGCGCCGTTTCGACCCGAACCTTGAACCCGACAATCTTATTTTTAACTCTCGGCCCATTAATGCTAATTATTCCGGCCCAATTGGAGTTAATTATTTTTTTTCACCCATTGCTTTGAAATTATTTTGGCACCAACTCTATATTTTTGAGTTCAAAGTATTTGGGTTGTTTTGGCAAGATTTTCTGGCTGTTGTTGACCAGGCCAAATTCGGCCCAAGTAACCCCTACCAGCAGCTTTTTTATTTGGTCTTTTCACATTTAAAAACCTGCCCACAATTACTAATTTTCAGCCCAACTTTTCAACAGCCCTAATTTCGCCAATAGATATACATATCCGCAAAGTCGCAGACGCCACCATCTTCCCCTTCGCTCATTTCAGATTTCTGTCCAAACTTCTCACCGGGCGGAGCTATGTTTTTCCGTTGGCAAGAACGTCAGGCTCCAACGTGATGGCATACTGACCGACGGCACGCGCAACAGAGCCGATCTCGCTACCCGAGACGCGTTAGCTCCTCGACTGAACCAGCAATTCCGGCTACCTGAAGTTCCAAGCTTTCCGGGCGACCACCGCGTGTAGCAGCAACCGAGCCCTCTCCTTCTCTCTCAGCCGCGCCTAAATGACCAGCCACCGCATCCCACGAAAATGACGACCACCGTGACCGATCTGAAGAGGAGCCTCCGAGATCTACGCGTGTGTCGCCGGGAGGAGTCGAATTTCCGGCCAGTTTCTGTCCGTGCGTCACTTTCGCGATGGGCAGCCCTATCGCCGGCGTCCGACTAGCAGCGAGCAGGCTACCTTCCATGGTGAACAAGCAGCAACAATTTCACTTCACGTCCGACCAACGAGGTTGAGTCTTCCTTGGCAAAGACGAGTGAGCAGCAATTCGGTAAGCGCAACGAGCCGCAACCGAGTTCGAGCAGCGAGGAGCCTAGTCGGTGACCCGTCTGCGTACGCCGAGAGGCCCTGTAGGTAAACTTTCAGCCGCCGAGAGTCGCGGTCTGACACCCCTCCTTCTCCTTCTCGTGGGTAGATCTTCGAAAAGAGATGAAGCTCGATTTTCCCTCTTTTACTTGGTGTAGTAGATCCTTTTAAAGTGTTAGTAATTAGTAATAGATCTCTTTAAGTCTTTTGTGATTTGGAGAAATCTGTGTGTGCTTTAAGAAACTGTGTAGTTTGGACCTTGGTTAGTTGTGTAGGATATTTGTCTGTGTGAATAATTTGTGTGCTGTGGAATGTCGGACCTTTCGAATTGAGAAATTGTGGAGTTGTGGAATCTGGTTCTCGAGAAAAATTTGAAGAGTATGGGCCTATGATGTAGTCATTAATTTGTTTGTTCATAATCTGAATCATTGGAGTTGGGATATGGTGAGGCTTTTAGAATAAATTGTTAATGGCTTACATATCCGAAATCAACGAGTTGCAATATTGATAAAAATAAATGTTTTTATTAGTGGAGATAAACTCAAGGTTGTCAAAACTGGATCGGTCATCGAATCGAGAAAGCTACCGGTTCAATGGTTCACTGGTCGGATCAGTGGTGGAACCGGTTTAATTAACATTAATTTTTATTTATTTTATATGTATAATATATAATTATATATATTTTTA